AAATGTGTTATTAACTTTGCACATGCGCTATTCACCCTTCTCAACTTTTACAACCCGGAAGTACTCCCTAAAACACCTACTCCCCCTAGAAATAAGAAATTAAACCTTGGTCTGCCCACCAACATGACTGACTCATGTATCCAATGGTTTAGTTTGTCCATCATGGTATCTGATTGAGTGTCTGCCCATCAACATGACTGACTCATGTATCCAATGGTTTAGTTTGTCCATCATGGTATCTGATTGAGTTTATTTGTTTGTGTTTTTAGCGCAAATTTGCACTCTACTCAATTACTGTCCACCATGAGAAATCGAGCACAGAATTTTAGTGTTTTAAGTTCGTAAGCTTACCGCTGGCCCACTAGGTGGAGCTGAATGAGTTAAAATTTAATTCATGATGAAGTTTGACCATCAAGCTATCTGATTCAAAAATTGTAACCAATGGTAGCGTTTGTCCAATTCCATTATTTTGGTCAACATAAAAAATATATTTCTCTTGTTAATTATAAAACACGTCTATTCTATCAAACAACACAAATGAAGGCATATTTAATCTACGCCCGGCATGGCCTGGTGGTTAGGGTGCTTGACTCGCAATCTGACGATCGCGGGTTCGAACCCCGTCACCGAATACGATCGCTCTTTCAGCCGTGGGGCGTTATAATGTCACGGTCAATCTTACTATTCGTTGGTAAAAGAGTAGCCCAAGAGTTGGCGGTGGGTGGTGTTGACTAGCTACCTTCCCTCTAGTCTATCACTGCTAAATTAGGGACGGCTAGCGCAGATAGCCCTCGTGTAGCTTTTCGCGAAATTCAAGTTAAATCATTCTAATTTACTGGTTAAAATAAAACATGTCTATTGTATTGGTCAACTTGAAAAATGGCATGCCTATCTTGTTGATCAGCACAAAACACGCCATATCTGTTCAACCTGTTAACCAGTTATGGCTTGTTTTATGTTGACCAATTGAACAGATATGGCTTGTTCTATGAACATAAAACAAGCCACATCTGTTCAACTGGTCAACATAAAACAAGCCATATCTAATCTACTGGTCAACATAAAACAAGCCACATCTAATATATTGGTCAACATAAAACATGACCTGAATATTTCTCTATCTGTCAATATGGTTCGTAGTTCGTCCCCTCTGTAAGCGAAGGCTACGGCGCAGTCTCAGCAATCTAACCAAGCTAACAATAAGGTTCAAAGGAAATCTAACCAAGCTAACAATAAAGTTTAAGTGAAAGCTAATAATAAAGTTTTAAAAAATCTGAACATTTTAATACATTTTGGATGTTTTTCCACCAGTGTCTTTAATTTCTAGAATCCGAACATTCAACTTTTTTTTTTGCTTAGAATAATTACAATCTTTTCTAGTAACATTCTTCAGCGGGTAATAAAAAATAAATAGAAAATTTTGTCAAATTTCCCACATGATACCTAAACGACGCATCAGAAATTACACCGAAAAGCAAACAATTTTGCTATTTTTCTCAACATACGATCCATATTTTCATTGACAAAAGATATTTCCGCGATGCAATCATCTTGTTTATTTGTTTGTTGTTGTTTTTCAAGTTGGATAAGCTCTGAACTGCAGATCATCGTTAAAATCATAAAGATAACAAGCCTTCGGTGGCAGTCTTCTGTGGAAGACTTCGCGCCATAATATCAAGATATCTAATACGGCGTGAAATTGACTACAATGATCGGCGCCTAACTAAAGGAAAAACAATGAGCTGTGTAAGGAAGTTGAAAAAAACAACAACAATCAAACTAGCCACTGCAACTACATCAAATATTAAGTTTTAAAGTTAGAAATATTACGAAATAGCAACCTCACGAAGTTATTTATCTAAAAATCAAGCCAATTATCTAAGTTTCTCTCTATATATATACTTATCTGTACATCCATCCAGTGCTTAACCCCCCGAAAAAAAAAGTACTCTATCGCACTATATCATTTCAACAACACTTAAAAATTACCTAAAAATAACTTACCCCTCCCAGTTTTTTAGTTAAAACAATAGTTAACGAGATATAAACTCAAACTGAAGAAACGTTTCAAAAAAAGTAATGAAACTGAAAAACTACGGTTTGTGTTCGAAAGACGATTGTCATTGTTTAATCCACTGTTACTATCGCAAAGCTAATTAACTGGTTATACTTTGGTGTAGGGTCGTAAATAATAATAATAATCAAATACACTTTAAATGTAAAATAACAGAACAACAAAAACAGAAGTATACTGTCCCCGAAATGGA